TGTTGTAGTGTTGGCGTAGTGTTGTAGTGTTGTGTTGTTAGTGTAGTGTTGTAGTGTTGTGTTGTTAGTGTAGTGTTGTAGTGTTGTGTTGTTGGTGTATTGTTATGTTGTATATGTTGTGTACTGTTATGTTGTGTAGTGTTGTGTTGTTGTAGTGTTGTGTTGTTGGTGTAGTGTTGTAGTGTTGTGTTGTTGGTGTACTGTTATGTTGTGTGTTGTTGGTGTAGTGTTGTAGTGTTGTGTTGTTGGTGTAGTGTTATGTTGTGTATTGTTGGTGTAGTGTTGTAGTGTTGTATTGTTGGTGTACTGTTATGTTGTGTAGTGTTGTGTTGTTGGTGTTGTGTTGTAGTGTTGTGTTGTTGGTGTAGTGTTATGTTGTGTATTGTTGGTGTAGTGTTGTAGTGTTGTATTGTTGGTGTACTGTTATGTTGTGTAGTGTTGTGTTGTTGGTGTAGTGTTGTAGTGTTGTGTTGTTGGTGTACTGTTATGTGTGTGTGTTGGTGTAGTGTTGTAGTGTTGTGTTGTTGGTGTACTGTTATGTTGTGTAGTGTTGTGTTGTTGGTGTAGTGTGTGGTGTTGTGTTGTTGGTGTACTGTTATGTTGTGTAGTGTTGTGTGTGTAGTGTGTGTTGTTGTGGTGTGTGTTGTAGTGTTGTTGTTGGTGTACTGTTATGTTGTGTGTTGTTGGTGTAGTGTTGTAGTGTTGTGTTGTTGGTGTACTGTTATGTTGTGTAGTGTGGTGTTGTTGGTGTAGTGTTGTTGGTGTTGTGTTGTTGGTGTACTGTTATGTTGTGTAGTGTTGTAGTGTTGTGTTGTTGGTGTACTGTTATGTTGTGTATTGTTGGTGTAGTGTTGTAGTGTTGCGTTGTTGGTGTACTGTTATGTTGTGTAGTGTTGTGTTGTTGGTGTAGTGTTGTGTTGTTGTAGTGTTGGCGTAGTGTTGTAGTGTTGTGTTGTTGGTGTACTGTTATGTTGTGTAGTGTTATGTTGTTGGTGTAGTGTTATGTTGTGTGTTGTTGGTGTAGTGTTGTAGTGTTGTGTTGTTGGTGTAGTGTTATGTTGTGTATTGTTGGTGTAGTGTTGTAGTGTTGTGTTGTTGGTGTAGTGTTATGTTGTGTGTTGTTGGTGTAGTGTTGTAGTGTTGTGTTGTTGGTGTACTGTTATGTTGTGTATTGTTGGTGTAGTGTTGTAGTGTTGTGTTGTTGGTGTACTGTTATGTAGTGTGTTAGTGTAGTGTTGTAGTGTTGTGTTGTTGGTGTACTGTTATGTTGTGTGTTGTTAGTGTAGTGTTGTAGTGTTGTGTTGTTGGTGTACTGTTATGTTGTGTGTGTTGGTGTGTAGTGTTGTAGTGTTGTGTTGTTGGTGTAGTGTTATGTTGTGTATTGTTGGTGTAGTGTTGTAGTGTTGTATTGTTGGTGTACTGTTATGTTGTGTAGTGTTGTGTTGTTGGTGTTGTGTTGTAGTGTTGTGTTGTTGGTGTAGTGTTATGTTGTGTATTGTTGGTGTAGTGTTGTAGTGTTGTATTGTTGGTGTACTGTTATGTTGTGTAGTGTTGTGTTGTTGGTGTTGTGTTGTTGGTGTACTGTTATGTTGTGTAGTGTTGTAGTGTTGTGTTGTTGGTGTACTGTTATGTTGTGTAGTGTTGTAGTGTTGTGTTGTTGGTGTACTGTTATGTTGTGTAGTGTTGTGTTGTTGGTGTAGTGTTGTAGTGTTGTGTTGTTGGTGTACTGTTATGTTGTGTAGTGTTGTGTTGTTGGTGTTGTGTTGTTGGTGTACTGTTATGTTGTGTAGTGTTGTGTTGTTGGTGTACTGTTATGTTGTGTATTGTTTTGTTGTGTTGCCATGTTGTTGTTGTTTTTCATACCTTTGAACTTGCCGCTCTCCAGCAGAGCTCCAGACTCCTCCAGAGAAAAAAATTCCTCGATGGACACAAAGTTGTAGTCCACACCTGTAATCTCGCCGTCCCGAGGCTGCCTGGTCGTACCTGCAGGGCGGACACCGTGATGTCATCACAGAGGGACAGAGCTGGCTTCAGACTCCAACATAGAGAGGTAATTAGAATCAGTGGACAGCTATTTAAAAGCTGTTGTATATGTATTGATGGTACAGTTGCACATCAGCCACCACAGCGGACGTTAGTGTGTCATGTCGTAGACTGCCTCCTTCTGGCAAGCCGTTGTAAGTGCAACTTAAATTTGTTAAAACCAATATGGCCGACCAACGGTCAGAAACTAATGAGTAATTACAACTGTTAAAATTTCAAGTATCAATTTTATGTTGGGAGGAAATAAAGATGAATCATGTGTCCTCTAAACTGAACATCATGCTTAGCTGGCTATGTTTCAACTACAATTCACCATTACTGAGACTTTGTTGTTCTTTATCGTACTTTATCTTCAGTAACTGTTTTGGATGTAAATCAATTGATTTATGTTATTAGAATTTAAAACTGAGATACTGTAACAAAAACAATATTTTGTGCATATTAGTTTCATTGTGTGAGTAACAGTTAGCGTCTTTTAGCGTCTTTTTAGCATATTTTGTAGAGTTTAAGTGCAGCGTGATAGATAGGCCTTGAGGATAGTGAAGCAAATTCCATCAGAGTGAGTGACAGTGAGGCTGAGGAATCGGGAGCGAGGCTCATCAGGTTCTGCAATGCAAAACATTTCTTCAGTTAAAAACTCAAACTCATGCTTTCCTCACGAGCGGCCTAAAGAGCAATAAAACACAGTTTGTAAATACAGTAAATGGCTGTAAGGAATATAACGGTACAGAAAGTGAAGAGGTCTCACTCTGTCGGTTTACGTTGAGACCAAAACTTCAAATATTCCACTCGGCTCCGCGCGTTGTGTGTATTTCCCCTGATATCCGACCACAGCCTGCTCTCAAGGTTTCCACGTCACTGCAGCTCTGTGTGACCTACATTACTACACACACACCCTGTGGTATGTGTACCACTAACACCTCTTCCTGTAATCATTATCAGAGTTCATCAGCACTTTATTTAATTTCAGAGGAAGGAACCTGCTGCTCAGGTTAAACTTTAACCTGCAGTTGTGACATTTTAAATTTAAAGGGTACCAGCGATGTAGTTTTCATGTTTTAAGCCTTTCAAGATAAATCCAACATGGTGTTACTGTGTATTTATGGGACCTGGAGTGCTGAATGAATGCTAGTATCAAAATATAAAAACTAGGGCTGGGTATGTTAACATGTTATTATCCCAGAACTAATAAAAACACAGGTGCAGGATCTATGTTGACATGTGTACAGGTGTTTCTTACAGGTGTGTATATGTGTGTGTACAGGTGTGTGTACAGGTGTGTACAGGTGGGTCTTACAGGTGTGTACAGGTGTGTGTACAAGTGTGTGTACAAGTGTGTACAGGTGTGTACAGGTGTGTACAGGTGTGTGTACAGGTGGGTCTTACAGGTGTGTACAGGTGTGTACAGGTGTGTGTACAGGTGTGTACAGGTGGGTCTTACAGGTGTGTGTACAAGTGTGTACAGGTGTGTGTACAAGTGTGTACAGGTGTGTGTACAGGTGTGTGTACAGGTGTGTCTTACAGGTGTGTGTACAGGTGTATCTTACAGGTGTATCTTACAGGTGTGTCTTACAGGTGTGTGTACAGGTGTGTGTACAGGTGTGTCTTACAGGTGTGTGTACAGGTGTGTGTACAAGTGTGTACAGGTGTGTGTACAGGTGTGTACAGGTGTGTCTTACAGGTGTATCTTACAGGTGTGTCTTACAGGTGTGTGTACAGGTGTGTGTACAGGTGTATCTTACAGGTGTATCTTACAGGTGTGTCTTACAGGTGTGTGTACAGGTGTGTGTACAAGTGTGTACAGGTGTGTGTACAGGTGTGTGTACAGGTGTGTGTACAGGTGTGTCTTACAGGTGTGTCTAACAGGTGTGTACAGGTGTGTCTTACAGGTGTGTACAGGTGTGTGTACAGGTGTGTGTACAGGTGTGTCTTACAGGTGTGTCTAACAGGTGTGTACAGGTGTGTCTAACAGGTGTGTCTAACAGGTGTGTCTAACAGGTGTGTACAGGTGTGTGTACAGGTGTGTATGTACAGGTGTGTGTGTACAGGTGTGTGTATAGGTGTGTATGTACAGGTGTGTGTGTGTACAGGTGTGTGTACAGGTGTGTATGTACAGGTGTGTGTGTACAGGTGTGTGTATAGGTGTGTATGTACAGGTGTGTGTGTGTACAGGTGTGTGTACAGGTGTGTATGTACAGGTGTGTGTGTACAGGTGTGTGTACAGGTGTGTCTTACAGGTGTGTCTTACAGGTGTGTCTAACAGGTGTGTACAGGTGTGTGTACAGATGTGTACAGGTGTGTCTTACAGGTGTGTACAGGTGTGTGTACAGGTGTGTTTTACAGGTGTGTCTTACAGGTGTGTCTAACAGGTGTGTGTACAGATGTGTACAGGTGTGTCTTACAGCTGTGTACAGGTGTGTCTTACAGGTGTGTCTTACAGGTGTGTCTTACAGGTGTGTGTACAGATGTGTACAGGTGTGTCTTACAGGTGTGTACAGGTGTGTCTTACAGGTGTGTCTTACAGGTGTGTGTACAGATGTATACAGGTGTGTCTTACAGGTGTGTACAGGTGTGTCTTACAGGTGTGTCTTACAGGTGTGTGTACAGATGTGTACAGGTGTGTCTTACAGGTGTGTACAGGTGTGTCTTACAGGCGTGTACAGGTATGTGTACAGGTGTGTGTACAGGTGTGTCTTACAGGCGTGTACAGGTGTGTGTACAGGTGTGTGTCCAGGTGTGTGTACAGGTTTTTTCTTACAGGGTACAGCCCGCAGGTACAGGTTCTCTCTGATTAGCTGCTGCAGCTGACTGTCCATGGAGCCTGGAGTGAAACACTTGCTGAGGTACAACCTGAGGTCCTTACAGAGGGACGACCCTGACAGAGACAGAGAGGGGGTGAGGGAGGATATGATGTCGTAGTGATTACAAATGTCTAACATACCATCTGTGTCCCAGTCTGCAGGTTAGAAAGACGTGGCTGTTTGAGAACTGTGAAATGAAGGACACTATCCAGCTGCATTATGGGAGATGTAGGAGTCAGTGTTTCTGGAGTGAATGTCAGGACCAAAGATGGGAAAAAAATAAGTGGACCTATGCGCCGTGGCGTCCCCCGTCGGTTTGTGGACTACAGTTTAGAAGCCTCCAGTTTAGCATTTTGGCTGTCATAATGTTGACTTATTGGAACCAGATGTGACCATATTTGGACGAGAGGGTGGAGCTAGTTAGCTTGGTTAGCAAGGTGCATTTGTAATTCACATTAACTGTGATATTAGCTGGGATGCTAATTTTAGCTAGCGACAAACAGGCTTAAAACAAAATGTACATACTGAAAAATGAGCAGCCGACTCTTGATGAGCTTTTTCAGTGGCGCTGGTTAAATGTACACAGAGCAGCAGGTACGAGTCGCCTCTGATTGACAGGTCGCCATGGTACCACCACATTCATTCTTATACAAAGTTAATAAGCACAAAACATGAAAAAGCCTCCGCCATATTTCTGCAGGCTTCCTCACACTTTGGGCACAATTTAGAGCATGCTCAGAAGAGACTTTCTGTGGCCAAGCATGAATGGGAAAACATACTATAATAATGTCTATGAAGATTCTCTGTCATCCAGGTCATAGTTATCCAAAGAAGGTTAAAGTCAAGGGCAACTGGACTTGGTTGAAGATACTAGAAGACGTTTCGTCCCTCATCCAAAGGACTTCTTCAGTTCTGACTGACTGGTAGGGAAACTAAGCAATTTAACCTCAGTGGAGTCGTTTGCCAGGATTGTCGATACCGCTGAGGTTAAATGCCTGGCGGCGCCACTGCCGACCAATTGGATGGTTTTGCGGCAGACGTTTAGCCATAATATGCCATGGCATTGTTTACTAAAGCAAAGTTCCCACTGAACAGAGCTTTCACGCAGTCCGGATGGCCGAGCGGTCTAAGGCGCTGCGTTAAGGTCACAGTCTCGTCTGGAGGCGTGGGTTTGAATCCCACTTCTGACAGTGAGGTTTTTCAGCCGAGCAATTCCCTGTCACAGGATAGTAGGGAAAACGAGTAAGTTCTCTGCATCTTATGGGATAAGCGCATAAATTAAACATCCGGTTTGAGCAGTAGAGCTGCAACCTTTGCGACGCTGCTGCAGAGGAGGCTCTCTTTTCAGCACCGCACTCCTAGCAAAGTTAACGATCGCAATCAGGGTCGATTAGTTCTGGAGACCTTTTTTCTCTGCATAGATAATCTACGTGGCAATGTGAGGAACTGCCTACCGTCTCAGTGTAGTGGTTCCATGGTGTAATGGTTAGCACTCTGGACTCTGAATCCAGCGATCCGAGTTCAAATCTCGGTGGAGCCTGCAGGAGAGCAACCTGTATATGCTGATCTTTGTAGGACAAATTGCTGTTTCTGATAAAAAGGTATACTGTATCATGACACATATATACTCTTTCGCAATCAGGATGGCCGAGTGGTCTTAGGCTGGCTTGCCCAGCTTCTGAGTCGAATGTGTTAGTCCCTGCGGTCATAAACTTTGAAAAGCTAGCGCGCTAGAAAGTATTTGTACACAGTAGGCTTATTTGTTGCTGGATGAATTGGTTGTAGGATGTCTTTAAAAACAATGTCTTTATTGCCCATTTCCAACATCTACTCTTGTCTGTAAATGCGTTGCAAACTAAGTTGATTAAGTCAACCAGTAAAAGTTGTGTTTTCACATGTTCCCTTCTGTGTCACCGGTATTGTTGCATGCCTTCTACGTCATCCTCTCTGCATTAAAATACATACAGTACTGGGCAAAAGTTTTAGGCAGGTGTGGGAAAATTGCTATAAACTCAGCTTACAAGGTGAGGTTGCTGAAGACAATTTTCTTTCAAAAGTCATACGCCATGGCAAGACTGACCACAGCAACAAGACACAGGGTAGTTATACTGCACCAGCGAGGTCTTACCCAGGGAGAAATTTTCAAGGCAGACAGGGGTTCCCACTTGTCGGATCACTGTCGAAAAGCTTTGGAAACCACCTCCCCGGACCGCTTTCCCGCGGCTATTCTTTGCACAGATAATACACGTGGCGATATCATGTAAGAATCTGCCGTTCATTGACGTGCAGTGGTTCCATGGTGCAATGGTTAGCACTTTGGTCTTTGAATCCAGCGATCTGAGTTCAAATCTCGGTGGAACCTGGTTTTAGACCAAATGCGACTCAACTGTGCTCGAAAACCGTATTCTGGACGTTCACAGACTTTGTCTGATCATGTTGTTCTCATTTCAAGACTTTGTTTTCCTAGGGGTGGCCAGATGGGGCCGCTGAAAAACCTCGGGTGGCACACTAAAACCAAAAAGCCAAAACCGAATTTCGGGAATTCTATTATACAGTATATAGACTAGTTGAAAACTACGTTAAAATATGAGTTAAGGAATCACAGACTGACATACTTTGGTTTCTTATTTTACAGTTAATGTTACCGATTGCCTAATGTCCATAAACTAAAACCAGTTCAGTTAACAAATTTGAGTTCCATAATGTGTTATGTATCTGCATGTGTCAGGCAATTGTTCTTCAAATACACTAGTTGAGCTTTTCCTTAAAAAAAACTAAAATACTACAGCTTTTGTACGAGTGCATTGACTGCAAAGCAAAGAACAAAACATTTAATGGGAACAAGCCTACTCAAGATTACAAACTTCACGGAGCATAGATGTTTCTCTTTCATATTAGACTATATAATAATTTCATTGAAATATACAATATGTGTCTGTACAGAGTTGTGCAATTATTTATAAAGAAGAATATTTTATAAAAATGGTTTCAAAACATAGATGCCAGTAAAACTACAATACGCTCTCTTGCTACTGTGTTTTTAACATGTCAACAAACAGCATGGCTCCACCGAGAGAGAGAGAGATCGCAAGTTACAGTACCACTGTCACAAACCTAAATTAAGAATGCAATATTTAAGCCAACACACATGCGCTCAGAACAAATGAGCCTACAGGGCCATAAGCAAACAGCAGTGAGCTCAACACCACTGAAGTCCACGACGACGCGCACAGACATTTTTTTAGGGATCCAAACCCTTTCTGTAGTCACCTTCACAAAGACATCCTGCAATCAATACGGAAAGAATGTCCGCCAATATACATCTCCTTCCCGGCTCCGTACCTTTAATACAGCGCAGCGAGCCGGCATATTGGTGTAATAATCTCAAATGATAACGCAGCATGAACGCGGCTATATGACAACAACATCATGACAACAACCGCAATCCATAGCCTAGTATCAATCGATTCAGCACAATAATTTGGCCCACGCACGGAGCAGCAGCACAGTCAGGATGATAAAAGATGATTTCACCCACCACAGCTGAGGGCTCACGTGAGGAGAAAGGCCGCATGGCGGTTTTTCCTCTGGGCAAACTTCTGGATGACTCTGAACTTATTCAGGGAGTCCGCCGACTCGTTGCGGCCCCGCAGTGCTGTTTAACATTTTCCACAGAGTTTAATTAACGTTACAATCCGACTGTCAGTGAGCACGTCGCTGTTTTCCTCCACCTGTTTTCCGCTCAATGGAGCGCCTGCTGGGCAGAGATGTTTACCCTTCCAAATAACGTTAAGCCCAGTTTCATGGCATCGTCCATAGACCCTTTTTTCGGCCTCTCCGCAGCACAGAAACAGCCCTAGTCAAGGTCACCAATGACCTACTAATGGCTGCTGACTCAGGTCTTCTTACCATACTGATCCTTCTCGATTTAACTGCTGCCTTTGATACAATCTCTCACAATATCCTCCTGGACCGTCTAGCTTCCATTGGTATCATCAACACATCACTAAACTGGTTCCCGTCATACCTGTCTGGCCACACTCACTTTGTACAACTTAAAAATGTTCGATCACAACTCTCCCCTGTCACCTGTGGTGTTCCCCAGGGATCATTTGACAGGGATCGTCCCCTCCTTTTTATAATTTATCTACTTCCCCTTGGTTCTATTCTCAGGAAATATAATATCCAATTTCACTGCTACGCCGATGACACCCAGCTCTACTTGTCCACCAAACCTACGTCTCTGCTCCCTCCGTCTTCTCTAACTGACTGCTTAGATGAAGTTAAAACCTGGTTCACTCAAAACTTCCTCAAACTAAACAGTGATAAAACTGAAATTCTCCTTGTTGGCTCCAAATCCACCCTAGCAAAATGTCCAAACTTTGCTCTACCCATTGACAATTCCACTGTCCCCTCCTCCCCCCACGTCAAGAGTTATGGTATCATCCTCGACAGCACACTTTCTTTTGAAAAACACATTAATAATCTTACCCGGTCTGCTTATTTCCACTTACGCACCATCAACCGCCTTCGTCCTTCACTTACACACCATCACACTGCTACTCTCATCCACGTTCTTGTCACTTCCCGTACTGATTACTGTAACTCCCTTCTCTCTGGTCTATCTCACAAGTCCATTCGTAAACTCCAACTGGTCTAAAACTCTGCTGCCCTTATTATCACCAGAACCCCAGTCTCTGAACACATTACTCCACTTCTAACACAACTGCACTGGCTCCCTGTCAAATACCGTATAGATTTTAAAATTCTACTCCTCACCTTCAAAGCTCTCCATCGTCTTGCTCCTCCTTATCTCTCTGAACTCCTTCAGCCCTACGCCCCATCCCGAACTCTCCGATCCTATTCTTCCTCACTACTTTCCATTCCTTCTGCCTGCATGTCCATTATGGGGTTCAGAGCCTTCAGCTATTGTGCGCCTCACCTTTGGAACTCCCTCCCTCTATTTCATTTCATTCATTTGTACGACTGAGTCACTGTCTTCCTTTGTATGACCTCATGGCGCAACGGTAGCGCGTCTGACTCCAGATCAGAAGGTTACGTGTTCAAATCACATTGGGGTCATATCTTTTTAACCCAGTAACTCTGTCTCTAATCAGCCACCTGTTTACTGGTTAGTACTTATTATTTATTTATTCACCATTCTCTATTTCAGTGCTGTTTATACTATGTCATATTGTATATACTGTATACCAATACACCTACCTCAGGTCATAAGGTCATAGGTCTTATTTATTTTTTCCAGCATCCTTTGCACTATGCTCCATCACACTGTGTACATGTGTACATGTATGCATGTATGTGTACCTGTATATCACATCCACCTTCAACATGTACATAATGAGAATAATAGTTTACTCTTGCATCCTTTGCACTCTGATCACTGCACTATTTGTCAACATGTCTATATTGTTTTGTTCATAGTGTGTATATTAGTGTTGTCTATACTGTAGTTTGTGTCTGATTTTATTTTAATATTGTGTTATGGTATTTTTGTACAAGTAAGCACATCATGAACAATGTACAATCCTGAGTCAAATTCCTCGTATGTGTACACATACCTGGCAATAAAGCTGATTCTGATTCTGATTCTAAAACTTCACTCAAAACACACTTATTTTGAAAGGCCTACACCACAAAACTCCACCTTCCACTGGCTTCATGATGAACTGCTTTCTCTTATTTCTTTTTTAAATTCTTTTCTCTATTCTATTTGATCTTAATCTTTACATTGTGTCTTGTTTTGATTTTTTGTATTGCCTCCTTGAAATGTATTCTAACTGTTTTAATCTGTAAGGTGTCCTTGAGTGCTATGAAAGGTGCCCACAAATAAAATGTATTATTATTATAAACTAGCCAGTTTACTCACTGTCTGTCGGTCTGTTCATTAATTAAATTACACTTTTCTGTCTTCTGCAGCTGGTCGCCAAGTTACCTCCAGATAAAAACACCGGAAGCAGCAGGCTGACCCGTAACTCCGATCTGCTCTGCCTGTTAGGCCCACCCCTTTACCAATCACAATTTTAGAAACGTGATAGGCATCTACATAGACAAATTGGAGGCCTCTCTTAAAATAAACATCCCAGTCCGTCACAGCTCAGGGTCAGAGGTTACCCTCTTAAAGTGACAGAGCCTGATATGACAACACATATGTGCTGCTAAGAACCTTTTAACTCAAACCCAGGAGTTACATAATATATATATATATACAGTATATATAACATTGGCACCAATTTTATTAGGGTGGCCCCGGCCCCGCCTGGCGGCGCCACTGCCGACCAATTGGATGGTTTTGCGCCAGACGTTTAGCCATAATATGTCATGGCATTGTGTACTAAAGCAAAGTTCCCACTGAACAGAGCTTTCACGCAGTCAGGATGACTGAGTGATCTAAGGCGCTGCGTTAAGGTCGCAGTCTCGTCTCGAGGCGTGGGTTTGAATCCTACTTCTGACAGTGAGATTTTTCAGCCAAGCGATTCCCTGTCACATGATAGTAGGGAAAACGAGTAAGTTCTCTGCATGTTATGGGGATAAGCGCATAAATTAAACATCCAGTTTGAGCAGTAGAGCTACAACCTTTGCGACGCTGCTTTCAGGAGTAGCTGCAGCAGAGGAGGCTTTATTTTCAGCACCGCACTCCTAGCAAAGTTAACGATCGCAATCAGGGTCAAATAGTTCTGGAGACCCCCGCCCGCCGACTGCTTCCCCACCTTTTTTCTCTGCATCGTGGCGATGTGAGGAACTGCCTACCGTCTCAGTGTAGTGGTTCCATGGTGTAATGGTTAGCACTCTGGACTCTGAATCCAGCGATCCGAGTTCAAATTTCGGTGGAGCCTGCCCTTAGGCAGGAGAGCAACCTGTATATGCTGCTCTTCTAAACAAGCTACTGTAGGACAAATTGCTGTTTCTGATAAAAAGGTATACTGTATCATGACACATATGTACTCTTTCATGATATATAGCAATACATCTCCTGATTAAAGCCTAACAATGCTGTCCTTTCATCACTTCCCAGGAAACTCAACAAACGTAACCTATTGGCCTCAGGTGAAGATACCAACGATGGTCATTCAGTCTTGGCCTCGGGTAGTCCTAACGACTGTAACAACTGTCGTCACAGAAACCAGGAACACTAATGAACCTCAGCGGTATCGACGATCCTGGCAAACGACCCCACTGAGGTTAAATAGCTGAGTTGATCCACTTCATTTTCAGAGTGTTCGTGACGTTTAGGAACATTTAAAGAAAAGTCATACAGCTGCTCATTTTCTGATGATTGTGTGTAGGTGAAAGTGATTTTAGGGTCAATGTGCGTCATCTGATAAACCCAGAAGTTGTAATACCACTACGGCAAAATAACTTCACAGCCAACTGGAGGCTTGAATGATTGACAAATTTAGTCTATTAACTGCTACGTTGAACGTAAAAGAATAAAACAAAATAAATCAGAGCGACAGAAACAGATTGAAAAGTGTAGTGTGTCCGCTGACCTGGTGAGACAGTCTTGATTCTGATAGGATGAGGACAGGAGTTGAGGACTCCTCTGACATCACCGAGGGTCATCCCTAACACGGGCGTCCCCCCGATCTCTAAGATGATGTCGCTCACAGTTGCCCCGCCCCCGTGGGCCGCTGTGACGAATGGGAACTCGCCGTAGTCGGCCCCGCCCCCGATGGCCAGACCCAGCTCTCCGGAGCCGCCCCCCAGCGGGACGAAGCTCTCCTGGACCTGAACAACAAATGACGGGAGGTCACATGACTGAAACACAGTTCAGACTTTCAATCATAAAGTTTAATCGTCTTTCAGAGAGACGTCAGCATTACCTTGGAGCGCCAGTGCAGCTTCTTCACCGTCGCTTTAGACATGGCGGCCGAGCTGCAGACAGGAAGAAACAAGTTAGTGAGCTTTCATGTTTTTACACTTGTTAATGGTGTCCTTGGTCTCCGCAACACACCCAGAAGGTCGGACCAGTAACATTCACACCTGTAAACACCTGTGAGGATACAAGTATAAACACACATGAACACATACAGATAGACGTCTATAAACACTGGAAGAGATTGTTTAACATTCTAACACGTGAACACCTGTTCATACCTGTAAACACCTGTAAGCTTCTGTAAACACAGATCAAAGTAAAGAATTGTTTACACAGTGATCACCTGCTCACAGCATTAAAACATGTAGCCCTGTAGACATCTGTGAATCCCAGAGAACACCTGAAAGCATTAGTGAACTCCTGCAAACACCCATTCACACCTGCAATTAATGCCTGTCCACAGCTTAGACACCTAAACACCTGTTCACACCTGCAAACATCTGTATCAACCTGTGAACATATACAGTCACACTCGGACACTTTTTAAACACCTGTTCACACCTGCAAACATCTGTATCAACCTGTGAACATATACAGTCACACTCGGACACTTTTTAAACACCTGTTCACACCTGTAAACATCTTACCTGGGACAACTTAGGAAATTAAACTTGACATAATTAAGATTTCTATTTCGCACAATTTGAGTACAAAGTAGTTTGTACTTGCTACCTAACCAAGAAGTTTGTTTACCTCCTAGCTAGGAACCTTTATTATATCCTCATTACTGAAGTAGAAAGCTTCCTTAACTCTAAGACTAACACTAAGTTTGTTCTCCTCCTCACTAACTAGCTAGAAAGCATACTTTTGTTCTTGCTTCCTTCTTAGTGAGCTCTTTGGAGTTTGGTTTATAAATTTTCAGACAGTATTTCAGCCTTAAAAAACAGTCCCCACAGACGTGTTTTTATTCTATCTGTGGTTTAAATCCGTCTCGTAGCAACAGGAAAACGTTGTGGTGAAATGTTTAATCAGCAGAAAGCTGCAGAGAACAGTTTCCTGTGTTCTCCGAGTGTTTGGGATCAGTTCCTCCATCAACTCATCGACTCTCTGCTTCAGTCTGCAGTGAACAGCAGATGGTGGCAGACAGCAGGGAGCCGCACACACATAAACACACAAACACATGCAGGCCAGCCACCGACACCGTTTCATTTATACACAATCAAACCCACAGGGAAACACACACACACACTCTGCTAGACGTTGTGCATTAAATATGGATGAGCATATGCGAAGGTGGGAGTCAGTGAAGAAACAAACAACAACGTCCCCGAGCAGCGATTCAGACAATCGCAGACTTTGAATTTAAATGATGAAATAAAAACATGAGGAAGAAAGCATGGAAGTAAAGATGCGTCCTAGTTAAGAAATAAAGAAGATAAAGAAGGAGGAGGTACACACGCTTTCTGGTGATGAAGTGAGGAGGTAGAACTAGGAGTTACAAACAAACGGGAATAAAGATATAAAGAAGCTTCCTACTAAGAAAACGAGGAGTTAAAGAATGTTTCTAGGAAGCAGTGAGGTAAAAATGCATCAGCTGGATAGTTGAGAGGTAAATAATGTTTTCAGTTAGGAAGCGCAGGGTTAAAAAAAGGAGACAAGTAGGTAAAGAAAAGGAAGCTGTGACGAGAAGTGACAGGTCTTTGTGCAAGCAAGTAAGAAAAGATGCTTCCTAGACCCTCATAGTACCCTTCCTCGTAAGGTAGTGAGGAGGTAAAGGAGCCTCCTTGTTAGGTAGTGAGGAGGTAAAGGAGCCTCCTCGTAAGGTAGTGACGAGGTAAAGGAGCCTCCTCGTTAGGTAGTGAGCAGGTAAAGGAGCCTCCTCGTAAGGTAGTAAGGAGGTAACGGAGCCTCCTTGATAGGTAGTGAGGAGGTAACGGAGCCTCCTTGTTAGGTAGTGAGGAGGTAAAGGAGCCACCTTGTTAGGCAGTGAGGAGGTAAAGGAGCCTCCTTGTTAGGTAGTGACGAGGTAAAGGAGCCTCCTTGTTAGGTAGTGACGAGGTAAAGGAGCCTCCTTGTTAGGTAGTGAGGAGGTAAAGGAGCCACCTTGTTAGGTAGTGAGGAGGTAAAGGAGCCTCCTTGTTAGGTAGTGAGGAGCCTCCTTGTTAGGTAGTGAGGAGCCTCCTTGTTAGGTAGTGAGGAGGTAAAGGAGCCTCCTTGTTAGGTAGTGAGGAGCGTCCTTGTTAGGTAGTGAGGAGGTAAAGGAGCCTCCTTGTTAGGTAGTGAGGAGCGTCCTTGTTAGGTAGTGAGGAGGTAAAGGAGCCTCCTTGTTAGGTAGTGAGGAGGTAAAGGAGCCTCCTTGTTAGGTAGTGAGGAGGTAAAGGAGCCTCCTTGTTAGGTAGTGAGGAGCCTCCTTGTTAGGTAGTGAGGAGCGTCCTTGTTAGGTAGTGAGGAGGTAAAGGAGCCACCTTGTTAGGCAGTGAGGAGGTAAAGGAGCCAACTTGTTAGGTAGTGAGGAGGTAAAGGAGCCTCCTTGTTAGGTAGTGAGGAGCCTCCTTGTTAGGTAGTGAGGAGGTAAAGGAGCCTCCTTGTTAGGTAGTGAGGAGCCTCCTTGTTAGGTAGTGAGGAGGTAAAGGAGCCACCTTGTTAGGTAGTGAGGAGGTAAAGGAGCCAACTTGTTAGGTAGTGAGGAGGTAAAGGAGCCTCCTTGTTAGGTAGTGAGGAGCCTCCTTGTTAGGTAGTGAGGAGCCTCCTTGTTAGGTAGTGAGGAGGTAAAGGAGCCTCCTTGTTAGGTAGTGAGGAGCCTCCTTGTTAGGTAGTGAGGAACGTCCTTGTTAGGTAGTGAGGAGGTAAAGGAGCCTCCTTGTTAGGCAGTGAGGAGCCTCCTTGTTAGGTAGTGAGGAGCCTCCTTGTTAGGTAGTGAGGAGGTAAAGGAGCCTCCTTGTTAGGCAGTGAGGAGGTAAAGGAGCCTCCTCGTAAGGTAGTGAGGAGGTAAAGGAGCCTCCTCGTTAGGTAGTGAGGAGGTAAAGGAGCCTCCTCGTTAGGTAGTGAGGAGGTAATGGAGCCTCCTTGTTAGGTAGTAAGGAGGTAACGGAGCCTCCTTGATAGGTAGTGAGGAGGTAACGGAGCCTCCTTGTTAGGTAGTGAGGAGGTAAAGGAGCCACCTTGTTAGGTAGTGACGAGGTAAAGGAGCCTCCTTGTTAGGTAGTGACGAGGTAAAGGAGCCTCCTTGTTAGGTAGTGAGGAGGTAAAGGAGCCACCTTGTTAGGTAGTGAGGAGGTAAAGGAGCCTCCTTGTTAGGTAGTGAGGAGCCTCCTTGTTAGGTAGTGAGGAGCCTCCTTGTTAGGTAGTGAGGAGGTAAAGGAGCCTCCTTGTTAGGTAGTGAGGAGCCTCCTTGTTAGGTAGTGAGGAGGTAAAGGAGCCTCCTTGTTAGGTAGTGAGGAGCGTCCTTGTTAGGTAGTGAGGAGGTAAAGGAGCCAACTTGTTAGGTAGTGAGGAGGTAAAGGAGCCTCCTTGTTAGGTAGTGAGGAGCCTCCTTGTTAGGTAGTGAGGAGGTAAAGGAGCCTCCTTGTTAGGTAGTGAGGAGCCTCCTTGTTAGGTAGTGAGGAGGTAAAGGAGCCACCTTGTTAGGTAGTGAGGAGGTAAAGGAGCCAACTTGTTAGGTAGTGAGGAGGTAAAGGAGCCTCCTTGTTAGGTAGTGAGGAGCCTCCTTGTTAGGTAGTGAGGAGCCTCCTTGTTATGTAGTGAGGAGCCTCCTTGTTAGGTAGTGAGGAGGTAAAGGAGCCTCCTTGTTAGGTAGTGAGGAGCCTCCTTGTTAGGTAGTGAGGAACGTCCTTGTTAGGTAGTGAGGAGGTAAAGGAGCCTCCTTGTTAGGCAGTGAGGAGCCTCCTTGTTAGGTAGTGAGGAGGTAAAGGAGCCTCCTTGTTAGGTAGTGAGGAGCGTCCTTGTTAGGTAGTGAGGAGGTAAAGGAGCCTCCTTGTTAGGTAGTGAGGAGGTAGAGGAGCCTCCTTGTTAGGTAGTGAGGAGGTAAAGGAGCCTCCTTGTTAGGTAGTGAGGAGCCTCCTTGTTAGGTAGTGAGGAGGTAAAGGAGCCACCTGGTTAGGTAGTGAGGAGGTAAAGGAGCCAACTTGTTAGGTAGTGAGGAGGTAAAGGAGCCACCTTGTTAGGTAGTGAGGAGGTAAAGGAGCCAACTTGTTAGGTAGTGAGGAGGTAACGGAGCCTCCTTGTTAGGTAGTGAGGAGGTAAAGGAGCCTCCTTGTTAGGTAGTGAGGAGCCTCCTTGTTAGGTAGTGAGGAGCCTCCTTGATAGGTAGTAAGGAGGTAAAGGAGCCTCCTTGTTAGGTAGTGAGGAGCCTCCTTGTTAGGTAGTGAGGAGCGTCCTTGTTAGGTAGTGAGGAGGTAAAGGAGCCACCTTGTTAGGCAGTGAGGAGGTAAAGGAGCCAACTTGTTAGGTAGTGAGGAGGTAAAGGAGCCTCCTTGTTAGGTAGTGAGGAGCCTCCTTGTTAGGTAGTGAGGAGGTAAAGGAGCCTCCTTGTTAGGTAGTGAGGAGCCTCCTTGTTAGGTAGTGAGGAGGTAAAGGAGCCACCTTGTTAGGTAGTGAGGAGGTAAAGGAGCCAACTTGTTAGGTAGTGAGGAGGTAAAGGAGCCTCCTTGTTAGGTAGTGAGGAGCCTCCTTGTTAGGTAGTGAGGAGCCTCCTTGTTATGTAGTGAGGAGCCTCCTTGTTAGGTAGTGAGGAGGTAAAGGAGCCTCCTTGTTAGGTAGTGAGGAGGTAAAGGAGCCACCTTGTTAGGTAGTGAGGAGGTAAAGGAGCCTCCTTGTTAGGTAGTGAGGAGCCTCCTTGTTAGGTAGTGAGGAGCCTCCTTGTTAGGTAGTGAGGAGGTAAAGGAGCCTCCTTGTTAGGTAGTGAGGAGCCTCCTTGTTAGGTAGTGAGGAGGTAAAGGAGCCTCCTTGTTAGGTAGTGAGGAGCGTCCTTGTTAGGTAGTGAGGAGGTAAAGGAGCCAACTTGTTAGGTAGTGAGGAGGTAAAGGAGCCTCCTTGTTAGGTAGTGAGGAGCCTCCTT